ATCACCTGGTGATTTTGTAAATATGAGACTGATTCAGAGGCTGATGCTCTTGGCCACAGACCACTCTAGGTAGCAAGGGTATGGGATATTCCATTGGGGATAGAGGAAGAAAGTTGCTTGCAACATTTGTTCACATAGATAGTTGCCCATTCAGCAATTTGATAGGTAGGGGGTGAAAAACCTTAAGCATCAGTCCCCTCATTCTTTTTTCAGATGGAGACACCAAAGAAGCCATAAATTAAATGGGTCTCCAAATCAATGACAAACTAGGGAACTGAAGTGAATCAGTTCAATCTGTCTCCCCATGTTTAAGGAACGAATAATTTGTACTCTGGGAGACATATACAGCATGAGATGGTAACCACTTCAATGGACTGTTTACAGAACTCCATGTTCAGAATCTGACTCAGGAGAAATGAGTACTCTCTCTTAAGAGATTTCCTTAGTTTGAATCAACATGCTTTGCCTTGCAACAGGTGGAAGCCATTTTGCAGAAAAAGTGATAGCAACAGAGGGATCTCAATGGTAAGACCATGAGATATGTCCAAGCCTGCCCTCATCCTGGGGCATCAGAGTCATAAGAACTGTGACATTTTAATTTAAGCACCATTAACAAGCTTAAACCCAAGATCATGAGTTTTATACCATAATCAGAAAACACAAGCGTGTCCTTGTACTAAGGAAATCATCATTAATTCATTTCATTCACTCTTTCATTCATCTATTTATTAAATATTGAGTGTTTCCTCTATGGCAGACACTATTCGAAAAGCTGGGGATTTAGGAGAGACCCAACTACAACACATATTCACGCTTTTCTATCTATCTATTGTAAAATGCTTTAGGCAATGAGGCAAATGAGATGGTTCTGTGCTTTAGTCAGTATAAAAAAGTCAGGGATTTAGAGAGTGCTTCTCTAACTGAAGAGCCCAGTTTTTATCACCAACCTGTTGCATACTGATAAAATATAAAAATGAATTGCTAGAAAAAAGAAATTTTAAAACCCACGAAGATAGACAAAACATAAGGCCCAATTTTTTATTACTGGATTCAACAATGTCAAAATGCTAAAAAAAATTAAGTGTCTAAATGCTCACTCCTAAATTCTCTATGTCTCACTGCAGACTGGTGAAAGACAGCTTGCAGACAAGCAAAATCCTCAGAATCCACTTTGAGTAGAACTGGCTGGGAGCACAGACTCCAGGGTTACAGTGCCTGGGTTTGAATTACAGTCTACTACTTGGCAGCTATGTGACTGTGGGCAAGTTATTTAATTTCATTGTTTCTCAGTTTCCTCACCATAAAAAGAATACCACTCAGAGTTGCTGCCATACATTTTAAACACTTACAAGTCAATACAGACAAAGCACTCAGAATAGTGTCTGACTCATAGTAAATGCTACTAAAGTGTGAGCTGCTATCATTCTACTATCTACTATTATAACTGCTATCTTACTGTTTTTACTTCTTCTATTATTACTACTAGTGTTACTCTGCTGTATCAGCTTGGGCCAACACTTGCACAGTTGTTTTATGTATAAAATGCTGCTTGTCAATTCTTCCTTCCTACTGACTTCCTTCCTTCCCTCCTATGGAATCTGTGACTAGAAAGTGAAGTCACTGAGAACACATGTTAGCACCCATGGAAATGCCTCTAACAACCCAAGTGTCTGTACTGCCCAGATGCCATTTCAGAAAGACAAGGACGAAGTGTCCTGGGGTTCTCTTCACAGAGTTCCTAGGCACTGTGTCTGTCCGTCATCAAACAAAGGGAAGCATCACTGAGACAGCTGTCCTCCCACCATCCTGGAGAATCTGGCTGGGCTGATGCTGTGTGACACTGGGTGCTGCCTCAGGGAAAGGCACGTCCTCTCTCCTACTCTGTGACCTAACAACAGTTTAGCAAAGGGAAGAACTTTAAAGGACATATTTATACTTCCTATAATTGAATACTTAACCCACATGCATCTTTCACACATACACATATTTCTCCAAGCTCCTTCTTAACACTGGTTTTGGATTCTCAGCTAAAATTTTTGAAAATGATTTTTTACTCTTTCTTCGGATTAGCCACCTACAGTTAGCTGAATTAAATATTAAGGAAACATAGAAACACATTCAAGAATAAAATTCACCTTGTGCATGTAGAGGAAGACAAAAAAAGAAACGAAGCCTGAGTATGGGAAATGATTAGAAAACAATTTACAATCACTATAAGGCAGGAGAATATCCAAGATAGGAAAGGAAAATAATCAGCTCCTTGTTTGCTTCTTAAACTGCATACATAACTGTCTCTGAGAATATTAAACAAACTTATTAATATAGTTTAAATAATTTGCATTTTCATAAAATTTCTATAAAAACAAATAGAGCAATATAATCACCGAAAAAATGAAGCAGGTGTGTTAGCTCTGGGGAAAAAAAGTTTGCAGGTTAATAGCTTGAATGGTCTTAGTCTCAAGATTTATTCACTTGTATATATCTTGACGAGGTCAAAGAGAAAAGAGGTAAAGCTGGAGTTCTTACCTAGCCTCACAGTGACATAAAGGACATGAGGCACAGTAACATGTACAAAATGGCTGGGGTCGAGGTTGGGAGTGATCTGACAGGCTCATAGACAGACTGCCCAGATTCATCATTTAGCTGGTAGCAAATGGCCTTGACATGGCCCAGACTGTAGTCAACAAGTTAAAAATTTTAATTCATCTTTGCTACTGAAGCTGAAAATTATCACATTTAACAAGCCAGCATTATTAGTTCATAGATTCACTCTGTAGTGTACTGTTGCATTTTTTTTTCCTTTTAAATTCAGTACTCTTAGCATGTTCAAGTTGCTCTGTATGACATATAGTGTGACACTTCAGAGAAATAAATACTAAAAGGTTTTCTGATGGAAATGAGGCTAATGATATGGTCAGACAACACATAAAAGTAAACATATTTTTGTTACTCTCTATTTCTCATCTCCCCATTCTGACTCTGCAGGTATTTATGACTCTCAAAACTTATTCACAGTATCCATCCTTCCAACCAACCATCCATCCATCTATCCATCCTTCCATCCATCCATCCATCCATCCATCCATCCATCCATCCATCCATCCATCATGCATTCATTTAATAAGTTATTCATTGAGCACCTTCCTGTTGCCTGGCACTATAGTATGTGTTTGGAACTTACCTTCTAGTGGAAAAAGACAGAAAATATACAAGTCAGTGAAATTAATTAATAATTAGAGTTGTGATAAGTGTTAGGAAGAAAAAAACAAAGTGTTAAAATACTGATTACCTGGGGAGATCTATCTAGGATCTTGACAAAAAAAGTTTGCTATCCAGATAATTCAAATAAAGACATATGAATGAAGAAATAACTTACAGAGGTATGGGCAGGGTTGAAAGAAGCAACAAGGAATACTGAGGCACCCAGAGACTTGTAACAGCAGAGAGCTGAAATCAAGAGGCAAGGAGAAGAAATGGTATTGCCAGAGTCTAGTGAGAGCTGGAGCTATGGAGGATGTGTCACCTGGCAAGAACTCCGGTTATGGAGGGAGAAGTGAAGAAAGGAAGAAATCACCCACCCTCTTTCTCCTCCCACTTTCCAGTCTTCTACTCATGCTGCCTATTGGCAGAACCTGATCAGAAGTCACCTGGCAAGGGGGCCTCCATGACACAGTCCATAGGGTTTGGCCTTGGTATTGATAATAGATTGGGGTGGTGTGAGGGGGAATGAGGAAGGAGAATAACCAGGAAAGGGGATCTACGCAGGTAGGACAGTCAGGAAAAGCCTTCCAGTGGAGGTGACATTTGAAGTGACACCCAGAGAGGAGAAGACCCCAGCCACGCAAAGAGCTGGTGGAAGAGCAATCCAGCAGAAGAAGGATCGAGCACGTGCCTTTAGCATTCCCCCTTCACTGCACCCCACACTCAGTACAGATCTTCACCAGGTGCTTGGCTAACAGAGACCTAGACCATCTAAATGAATAGCTTCCTATTCTATTTTCTCAACATCATAAAAAAAGCTTGCTCTTAAAAAAGAATGCTCATAACTAGGATGCTTCCCTAAGAAAGGTCCAGCACTTTTGTTAATTCTAATGTACATAGAAAAATAAAGGGAGACATATGTCAAGGCAGGTAAGGTCAGGGAACTGGAGCAAGTATAACTCCCTTCCATTTATGCCACTTCTCTTTGAAAAGCTCAAGTCCTCCACACTTTGAATAGTCTCATATTGTACAATTTCCGTAAAAGTGTGAGACTGTCTATCCTCTTAAATGAAGAAACACGATAAGGATTCAATTCCAATGTAATCATTGTTAATGTTTACCTATAATTTAAACTTGCACTAATTTTCTTTTAGTTTTATATTTACCTCCCAGTCATTAGCTAAAATGCATATAAAATATATGCCTCAAGCCTATTAATCAAAAATATCTACTGACAGATTATTTTTTCTGATGCTAAGACACCGTTTTTGTATACAAAGTAAAATTTCAATATTAACAAGACCATCATGTGAATTTGTGATTTGACTTGTAAAGGCCAGTTTACTGGTTCAAATTCTCTGTGAGGTAGCCAAGTCATTGAAAGGCAAGTCTGCCCTTAGAAGGTACAGGGAGTTTTCTGCTGGTAATTGAGGTTAGGCATCATAACTTCCTTCCTGTTAATCTTCCATACTCTGGGATGCATTCACTAATGGAAAAATAGTTCCTTTCAAGGACAAATTCCAGGCACAGTAATGAGGAATTGCCTGCATGTTAATGAGATTCACCATCTCTCATATCCAAAGCTAACTAACTGGTGTTTTTCCTTAAAGATCTTAAGGAACTTCCATTATCCAACTACATTAAACCTAAATTTCCCTAGTGCCTATTCAATTTATCTTCTCTTGTTTTGTCCCTGATGAATATAGAAACAGATGGTAATTCTTCTTTTTTAATTTATGACTCTTGCCAAGTCAATAAAAACTGCTGACAAAAATAATAAGTTCAAAGTGTATTATTACCTGTAGGAGAGGCCGCTGCACACCCAGCACCTTCATGGTATCTGCATTAGCCAGAATCTTCAAAGGGTCAGATGTTTTAGTGACTCCTTCAATCTCCTTGTTGATCTCAGCCAAGACTTGATTGAGAAAGATGTTTTTGATGTACACGGTGAGAAACTCTCGAAGAGGACACTGTTTGGCTGGGCCAAGACCCAGGGCTTGTTCAATCTCCTGAATAAATCTGGAAGACAAACAGTAAGACGGTTATTACATTTATCGGGAAAATGTTATATAAATATGACACGATGACGTGAGTATGTCTAGGTGTTGGCTATTTCTGTGAAGAGGGTAGGTCATCAGTAATACTCATCTCTATATAATTTTTAATCTTTTAAAAATATAAATTACTCCATTAATTGAATAGAAATAGGATGAAATGGAAAACATGACTTCTAAAAATGGCAGGGAAGGAGAAGACAAAAAGTATTTTTAATTCAAGGAGATAAGACTATGAGAAACCATGGGAAAATGTGAAAAACAAAAACCACAAGTTTTCATGCAAATTAAAAAGCATGCCCCCAAGACTACATATTTCCCACTGAAATGTTTACATCAGGGGTCCCCCCTTTCATCCCCCCACCCCCCGAGGGGCTATGTACCAGTATGGGTCTTCGGCCTGTTGGGAACCAGACCGCACAGCTCACCTGGCTGGGTGAGTATTACCACCGGAGCTCCGCCTCCTGTCAGATCAGCCATCACATTAGATTCTCATAGAAGCATGAACCCTAATATAAGCTGTGTGTGTGAAGAATTAGGTTGCATGCTCCTTATTAGAATCTAATGTCTGACCTGTGGTGGAACAGTTTCATCCCGAAACCATTTCTCCCCCAACCCCTGTCCATGGAAACACTGTCTTCCATGAAGCTGGCCCTTGTGCCAAAAAGGTTGGGGGACTGCTGCTTTACACGTATGGGTATAAATGTCAAAAAGAGAGAGAATGAAGGATACTCTAAAATTCATGATGATATGTGAGTTCACAGGTAAAGAAAGGGAATGGGATGGGAGTTGGAGGACAAAGGAGAACTTCCACCTTACTTGTAGTTATCTATTTCCTTTAATAAAAACAAAGAAGATATAACAGAAGGTTAATGATTGTTAAGTTTCAGAGATGAATCTATAGATGTTTGTTACATTATTCTTTTTAATTTTCTATACAGCAGCCCCTGCTTTGTATGGTTTAATATGAACAAATTGAAGTGACTACTGTTTTTTAGTTAAATAACATCAGTCTATCCATTACATAATTTACATACCTCAATACCACAGTATAGTCACCACAGTACATTAAATTTAAGTAACTAAAGTATACACTTTGTTGCTAGCTTCTCTGAAATCCCTATGTAAATAACTGATGTGCGTTCATCACGATTAGTGACCAATCACATCACTTCTTCCAATGTCTACTGGCAACTGGTCACTGTGCATTTGTTATTCAGTTCACATACAGGCAGCAAAGCATGCAGCTGGGGTGCCTCCCTGTCTCCCACTGATACACCCATGTGATATTTTATAACAATGGAAAATTGAAAGCGGGAACTGGCCAACAAAGATAAAAGTACCGCAAAGTGTTAACATTGGAAGTGAAATGTGAATGGAATGTAACCGGAGTTACGGGAGAAACAGCTGGTCGTGGGAATGTTGACACTGTCGCCATTGGAGCGGCACAGCCAGACTGCAGGCCAGCACAAACGAGGAAGGTGCTTGTGACCAAAGGGATGAAGAGGGTGAAGAGGGATGAGATGACAGAGGAAGTGATGTCGGCAACAAATTTCACATGAAAAAAACTCCTGGAGATATTTCACAACATTGAAAAAAAAAAGATAAAATGCTGGCAGCTATGCAAACTTAGGAGTATGGCAATTCTCTGAGGCCCAGAAAAGATGCTTGCTGTTTATTGTAAAGCATACAAGGGGGTGGCAAGCACTGCTAAGCTACTCTTGGTAAGATTTTGCCAAAAAATAAGACACTTTAATTCTCAATGTTTCTAATGTTACAGTATACTGAATACATATCAGTTTTCTCATTTTTCATTTCTGTATATATTTATAAATGACAGGAAGAGAGTTTTTAATTTTTTGAGAGAGTTTCACTGTCACCCAGGATGGAGTACAGTGAGACTTGGTACGATCTTGCCTCACTGCAACCTCCACCTCCTGGGTTCAAGTGATTCTCCTGTAGCTGAGATTACAGGTACGCACCACTACACTGGCTAATTTGTATTTTTAGTAGAGATGTGGTTTCACCACATTGGCCAGGCTGGTCTCGTACTGCTGGCCTCATGATCCGCCCTCCTCGGCCTCTCAAAGTTTTTTAATGTTTTGACAGAACATTTTAAAGTCATGAAACAATCGTGACTATCCTCATTGATTAAGATTGCTTTGTGTGGTTTCAGCTTGCACCGTCATTTTTGCAGTTCTCCAATGCTATAGAAAGCAAGAGCTGTATTGTACTTCAATTTCTTCTCAAAAAAGGGGAGAAGAAAAATAAATGAAAATATAAAATGAAAAACCAACTGGGAAGATATATTTGCAATTTATGTCACAGATCATGGCCAGAACTCAAGAAGAAAAAAAACCCAAATAACTTGGTAAAAAATAAAAAAGATCAAAACACATGAAAAGACTGTTTATAGTCTAAGAAATACAATGACCATTAAACATTAGAAAAAAAGTATTCATTCATAATAAGAAAAATGCAAAGTAAACTATACTGAGATACCAATTTTTACACTAACGCAACTGGCCAAGTTCCAAAAGTTTGAAAACACTCTGCTGCCATATGAAAAAAGAGGCATTCTCATATATTACTGATATGAGTGAAAAATGGTAGAACCCTTATGGAAGGCAAGTTGGCACTATTATTCAGAACTCCAGATGCACTTCTTTATGGCCCAGAAATCTTACTTCTGGGACATTCTTCTGAGAGCTGTGTCTAAAAATGGATGTGATAATCTACATACAGGGTATACAGATCAATACAGAATTGTTTTTAGGTAAAAGACTGGGAACAACCTGAAAGTTCATCCATTAGGGAATAACTAAACTGTGGTATATTTACATATTGGAATACTGTACAGCTCCCACTACCTCCGAATGTGGCCGCTTTTCATGTACTAATGTGCAAAGATATCCAGGATATATTGTCACATGGAAAAAAAGCAAGCTCAGATCAATCTAGTTAATAGTATTTGCTACACTAATCTCTCTATAAAAATATAGATTTTTTATATTTTTTATATTTTATGATATATCCTCATTTGTTTATTTTAGATAAAGACACCCTGGGAAGTCTCACAAAAAAACTACTAAGTACCCACAGGAGGCAGAGGTGGGGGTCAGGTGTGGGAGAGAAGTGGAAATGAGTCTTTTCAATTATAACTTTTAATAATCATTTGACTGTTAAAAACTGTTAATGTATTCACTACTCAAATAAACTTAAATTAGAAAAATTTTTAAATGCCTATACGTATCAAAGACCATATTTCATAAATTGCTGTCTAAGTAGACACATTTAAAGTGTGGTGTGTAAATAGTTCCTCAAGTTTAGCTGTTTAACCTAATAAAGAGTTTTCTTTACTTACTAAATCAATACACTGCAGTTAATCTTACATATTACCAGTTAAATGCTTTATTAACCCCTGGGGTGTGTGTGCGTGTGGTGGGGGGGATGAAGATGGTGTATATATAGGATTATCGTAATGAGAAAAGTCGCTTTCCTTCAAAGAAATGCAGGAAAGAGAGATGAAATTGAGAAGGCACAAGCAAGCATTGAGGCTTCCTAACTGATATTATCAACATGAAAGGAAAATAAAATGTGACCAAAAACAAGATATAATGGATCTTTAAAGAGAGGGTGAGTGGAAGAAGGCAGGAAAAATGGAGAAATAAAAGTAGATGGTAAAGCAAGGCCACAATTTGAAGATCTCCAAATACCACATCCTGCTACACTGACCCTTTCTGATCTCATCTAACCCTCAAAAAGATCCCCTGCCCAGGTGCATCCTAGCCTACCTGGTTGGCTCCCCCCAAAAAAACCACTGTTGTTAATTTGCTAATAGTAAATACACTAAAATTCTTTGTGATTTTTTAATATTATGAGAATTAATGATCAGAATCTCTATTTTCTCCAAAGGGACTTTGAAAAAGAGTTTTCTGAGTGTATTGCCTACATTTTCAAAATATTTAAGATTTATTAGAACAAAACTTTTACTAGTCAAAACTTTTACTGCTCCTATGCAGATGGGCAGAAGACTCTAAATTAGACTCATTTTCTTTTTTCCTGGTCCCTTATTTGCCATTGGTGTTCCTGAAATATGAACTGCACTGAGCAGTACAGACAGAGGGGCCCCCATCGCTCCTGGCTGAGTGATTTCTTTCAAATTCAAATTGTTTATTCCCTAGAGCATACACATCCATCTCACATGACACATCCAGGTTGATGCTGTCAGCCCTAACTGGAGGGGACTCTCAACATGTTTCCAAATCTGCTTTTAGAGCTGCAAGGGACCTCACTGTGCAGAAGCACAAAACAAGTGGGTGAGAATTAAAGAGAAAAATTAACGCTTCTTCACCAATCTCCTCCTTTTCTTTTTTTTTTTTTTAATTGTATGCTGGACTGTTGCATAGGTGCATACATACCTTGGTGGTTTGCTGTCTCCATGCCCATACCACCCTGTCACCTACATCTGGCATTTCTCCCGGTGTTATCCCTTCCTATCCTCTCCACCCCCGCCCCCTTCCTGCTGTCCCTCTGCTCCACTCCCCTCCACCCCCACCACCTAGCCCTGTGAGTGTTGTTCCCTTCCCTGTGCCCAAGTGTTCTCATGGTTCACCACCCACCTATGAGTGAAATCATGTGGTGTTTGGTTTTCAGTTCTTATGTCAGTTTGCTGAGAATGATGGTTTCTAGATTCATCCATGTCTCTACAAAGGACATGAACTCGTTGTTTTTTATGGCTGCATAGAATTCCATGGTGTATATGTGTCACATTTTCCCTGTCCAGTCTGTCATTGATGGGCAATTGGGCTGGTTCCAGGTCTTTAATATTGTAAACAGAGCTGCAATAAACATCAGTGTGCATGCGCCTTTATAATAGGACGATTTATAATCCTTTGGGTATATTTCCAGTAATGGGATTGATGGGTCAAATGGAATTTCTATTTCTAGATCCTTGAGGAATTG